TTTTGGCCTTGGAAAGGGTTCAGAAAAGGGTAACTAAAATGATTAGGGGTTTGGAACGGGTCCCATATGAAGAGAGGCTAAAGCGACTGGGACTTCTCAGTTTAGAAAAGAGGAGACTGAGGGGGGATATGACAGAGGTCTATAAAATCATGAGTGGTGTGGAGAGAGCAGATAAAGAAAAGTTATTTATTAGTTCCCATAATGGAAGAAGTAGAGGACACCAAATGAAATTAATGGGTAGCAGGTTTAAAACTAATAAAAGAAAGTTCTTCACACAGCGCGTAGTCAACCTGTGGAACTCCTTGCCAGAGGAGGCTAGGACTATAACAGAGTTTAAAGAGAAGCTAGATAATTTCAGAGGCTGGAGAAGGATGGCAGAAGACAAATCGCTTGATCATTGTCTTCAGTCCACCCTCTCTGGGGCACCTGGTGCTGGCCACTGTTGGCAGACAGGATACTGGGTTAGATGGACCTTTGGTCTGACCCAGTATGGCCGTTTTTATGTTCTTATGTTCTTTATGTTGATATTTCTGATGGCAAATATGATCTTTACTTTAAAAGTACGCCACAAACCAAATATCTTCAGTAAAGGTTTGTATCAAATCCCTCCATCCAAAAACTCCTGAGCACTGGGGCTGTAAAAAAATTCAGAGCTGATCAGTCTCAGAGCCAAATTCTCAAATGTTCAGAGTCAGTATTTGAATTCAGTGAGCACAGAGAGTTTGAGCTGTTACTCTGATGCAAGGTTTGGATCCAGGATGCTGGTTCATTGTCAGCTTTTTCCTCTATGCTCTTTTTCATTTTCTTTTCCAAGGTGAGGTGAAAATGCCTCGTTCTGGTTTAGAAGAGGCTTCTCTTCCTAATGCTGCCATTTTAAAGCAATGTACTTTAGGCTGTAGGAAAAGACAGGCAAAGGGCAATTCTACTAGCCACTAGTCAAAGGTTTTTAAGGGGATACGCTCCCATAGACTTCAATGGTATTAGTATCAGATCCAAACTCAGAACAGCAATCAATAGCCAAGCAACCTACTTCAAGTCTGCGTGAGGTGGAATGGAATCATTGTGCTCTCCGTGGAAACGCTCATTAGCCGGGGGAGATAAACCTTTGTTTCCTACAGAGAAATAACAGCAAAAAGAGTTACTTGCATTTAGTAACTTGCATTGCCACCATCCAGTTTATTTCCTGGCTTCACGGTCATCTTATCCTCCTGTCTCTTTTATGAGCCTCATTCACTGTAAGTATTGTATCATAACCTAGATTTCAGCTATCTTTTTTACTGTATATCTCTTTAGGGCCTAGCACACTAAAAGCCTGTTTTTTTATTACACTAACACTATCTGCAACAGGTGGTTATTCAAAAGAGACACATTGCCCTGTACAAAAACCCTAATGTACATGTGGGAGATTGTACCAACCACGATCTCCTGCCTCTTCCACTTCATCTTCAGGGGCCCTGTCCATCAGCTCCATGGGGGGTAAAGAGGGTCCTTCATGGGGCAAGGAGTGAGGAGCAGAGGCATCTGCAACACATGAGTTTAAGAGAAATTAATTCTGGTAGGGATCTAAAAGCATATGCACTAGTTCATGAAAGTGCTTTTTAAGGAAACGACCATTAACAAACATCAAGAGAAGAAAACACAGGAAGCAATGAAGGGAAACTTTCAGCAGAGTTCTAAGAAATATACTGTATTGATTAGACCTGGATAGGAAGTGATCTCTTCACAACCATGGCGTGATATTTGAAAATCAATATACAGCACTTTCCCATTCAGTTTGTCCTATTACTTTGGTACTTGTGGCTCACCAAGAATCACGTATTTCCACAAAACAGTCCATCTCTGAATCAGCTGCCATTCCAGAATTAAATCCCAACCATGGATTCCATGAACTGTGATACCAATGTGAATTGTCTAAGCAATGACATAGATGCAGATAGCTGTGGTACTGTATTATGATGATGATGAAGAAGATGTGGGTTTACGGGCAGTCTCAAAACTCCTGAATTTTAGGTTAATAGCGATGAGACATATTGTAAAAATAGGTTTGGACTTTTAATTATAAGATCTCCCCTTTCTGGACCATATCCATATACTTCAAGTATTCCCTTCCAGTCAGTCTATGAAGTGTTAGATAGTAGCCACAGGTATGAATGTCCATTCTGGCAGTATCGACGACTCAAGTGTGGGAATCTCAAAGCAGTGAATTGGGTCAAGCAAAATGAAGCAAGAGGCACTGTTGGAGTTGTTTAGCTATCTAATCTCTCTTTCTAGTAGCCATGGGAGAAAGGCAATGATCTTTCTTAGGAATCCACTCTGGCAGATCTGTCCAGCCAAAAGTGCTTAACAATCCAGAGAGTATATAAAGGCAATTGATAAACTAACCTATTTTAGTAGCAAACAAACTGGTTCATTGCATTCAGTAAATTGACTCAGAGAAAAGTGCGAAGAGAATAAAAAACAATCACTGTTAAATTGTTTCAGAAACATCTCTGCCAAGTTTCAGAGTACAAGAAGTTTGTTCTTCGAGCTCAGGAGGGAGTGGCAATGAGCAACACAGAATGCCATGAGCCTCTTCCTCCTCTAATGGGAGCTTTCGTGTTACTGCAGGTCAGAAATACATGGCAATATTTTTCTCATTAATATGCAGGTAATGTGCTGTATATTCTAACATTTATAGGAAGCATTTAGTTTGTACAGTATCTGCGCACGTGCCAGGCATATTACTGGTTTTGTTAACCCTTTACTATTGGTCAGCTTTAAGCTACATGGTTAGCCACAATACTAGAAGAGAAAAGGCCATTTTGTCTTTAAGGAACATAACTGTGAACATCCAGATTTCATTTTTTGTAACATGGTATTTTTCCAGGTGCCCTGGGGAAAACCCCTTAACTCCTTTATGCCTCCATGTCATTAGTAAAAGCGAACAGAGTGGTGTTTACCTGCCCTCATCCACATTTGTAAGACCATCACAAAATCACCACACTATGCACAGTTGAGCAGCATCTGATCAAGATAGTTTTCAGGGCCAGACTAGAAGGAATACTGCAGGATAAGAACATAGATACACTGGCAAAACTGTAGTTTCAGACATCTTCCTTGTAACATGACGGCCTCAGTCTGGTGCTATTGCTCCTTTCAGAAGCATTCAATTTACTCCCAAACTAAGGTAAGACAACTAAGGGCCACATTTAAACTGATTATACCCCCATAAAACCTTCCTGCAGTCACTGGAGTTCTGCAGTGTGTAATTCAGTGCAGAATTTGGCCCTGAATAAATAACTAAAATAAGAGAATGGTGCACATAAATTTTTGCTTGTCTCACTTACCTGATGTGCTGCTTATGTGACAGTGGTCTCTGTCTTGCATCCTCTGCTGTACAGTGAAGACTCCTACCCTATTTTGAGTTGTTTGACCATGGTCACACAGATAGTATAGCTAGCTCTGTTGTTTCTGTTGTTAGCATAAGTGGATCTGTGTGTTGCTGTTGCAAAACTGATTTTCATGTTGCCAAAGAATGGGTAAATATTTGAATATGACTCCACCTTCTTTGAAAGTGCAGTTCATGCACGGTAAAGGCCAAGGGACTTTTTAGAGGGGGAATGTCAGTGTGAGCTGCTATTGTGAAAATCATTGTGCCCGAGGAAAAGAAAAGCATGTACAGTCACATGCTTTATGCTTCTCAGAGGAGAACCTCAAACCTTCCTTCAGGTACACAGCATTTATCATTCAGGGAAGACTCAAAGCCCTAAGTATTTGCACCATGCTAGTGTCTTCATGTAGCGTGAACTTGGATTATTCTTTTCTGAAATACCTGGTGTCATGAAGAAGGCTTCCCAAGACAAACACAAAAATCAAAACATGGTCTATTTTAATTGTTACAGGTATTAATAAGTCAGTTATGTGAAGCCTCGTGTGGGTTTTTTTTTTATTGAAATCAGCAGAGTGGGACAATGGCCTTTTATTTTTTCTTCCTCATATTTTAGATAGTCTAAAAAACAAAACTAAGGATTGTGGGTTGTTTAGCTCCTGGCCAATCTTGCTTGAAAACAACCCACTCAGTAGTTTAGATCTTATCTCAGACAGACAACTGCTGATTTACAAGTACCATTGTCCATACCTTGGGTGACAGAGGGAGAAAGGAGACGTTCACTTCCATAATTCACATGGCTTTCATTTCTGCTTGGAACAATGCAAACAAAGAATATAATTAAACAAGCCCACCACTAGGAGAAAGAGATAATGATTCATTCTGACATAGGATTAGTGGTAATTATTACCCTCTCGCCCTGAGCAATGGCCCCACCAGAACTACGGTTGAGGCAATTTAGGAGAAACGCATCCTGCCATTGCCTGTGCTGTGCTTGTAGGGTGTAGCTTTGGGCTATGAGAATGGGGCAAATTAAAATTCCCTGTAAGAACATAAGAATAGCCATACTGGGTCAGACCAATGGTCCATCCAGCCCAGCTTCCTGTCTGTCGACAGTGGCCAATACCAGATGCCCCAAAGGGAGGGAACATAACAGGTAATCCTCACGTGATCCCTCCTGTCACCTACCTCCAGAAAAACAGAGACTATGGACACCATTCCTACCCATCCTGGCTAATAGCCATTGATGGACCTAACCTCCATGAATCTATCTAGCCCTTTTTTGAACCCTGTTAAAGTCCTAGTCTTCACTACATTCTGTGGCAAGGAGTTCCTTGATTATGAAGAGTCAATAGCATTTTTAAGCCAATGTGAATGTGTGTTTGCACCACTTTTGCAAATACCTCAGTGACTTAGAGTAGTGGTGGGCTGAAATGGTCATGAAAACAGAGGATTTTTTTTTCTTAACATGTAAGAAAAAACACCAGTGTCACCTCCTTTGAATGTTTAACTACAGCTCCCATTGCAAGTTCCTGCCTCATGTTGAAATCTTTTTCTCCTGTTACCAGTCATCAGATGCTAGTTCTATTTTCAGGCCCTTAATCAATGGAATTTCCATACTCATTTATCTGGTTGAACAAGATGCTGTACAATGAGCGTATGGCTAGAGTACACTCTTCAGCTTACACCTCCCTATCCCTGGCATGCTCCCCATGCAGTTGGGCAGTAGGACACAATGACAAAGATGACTCTACAGTGACAGCACAAACCAGACAGTCCCCATTCCATTGTAATCCCCAGTTGCCTCATAGATCACTTTTACACTCTCCTTGCCCTGGCAAAGTGGTATAGAGACTATACTGTGGCCAAAAGTCTACCCTAACATGAATGAAAAATACGTGTGGCAATCAGGTCTTCAACCTGCATTTTAGCCCCTTTATAATTGGTCTGCTTTGTCCAGATACAAAGAGAGACAGATTTCCACCCTATTTGTGGGGCTTAAGCCCCTCCTCCCTGTATGTTGTGCAGATATGAGAACATGATTCCTAAATAAAAATGGTTCTCTGATATTTTCTTTGGTGTCCTGGTGCTCTCTTGGGCTGAATCTTTTGTAGCACTAGAGGACAACTATCTAAGTCTCTGCTTTGCATAGTTGAATTAGGAAAGTTTTCTAAAACAGAGAATGAGGGATAGGAGGAGTGTTGTATGTGAAGACCAGGTCAAAACAAGCCGCTAGCATTTGATGGATGAAAAATGAGTGATGGGGACATGGATAGCAAAGGAGGATTTTAATGAGCTATGGGCATTTCACCAGCAATTCAATCTAGAACTCAAGTGACAGACGTCAATTTGATGGATGATGACTGCTGTTTAGTAAAGATGATTTTGGTGTCTCAGTGCAGTTCCAAGGAGGTTAGGTGTCCACATCACAAAGTCATCACAATCAATGTGCCCACTAGCGAAGGTGCCTGAATGGTAATGAAGAATGAACAATTTCCATATACCTAGAGGTTGTTCCTCTAGTACAGGACTTAGGGGCACAAGGTGGACATTTGCAGTGCCAGTGTTTGAAACTGTATCCGATCAGATGATAAATAAATGACTTTAGTGCCATCAGTCTAGAATTTCAAATCTGGATGAGACACAAAATATAGAGGTAGGTCATGAATTTTTCATTGTTTCAAATATCCAAAGTTTTGGTTTGGCTATACTTCAGCCAAGAACCTTCAAACTGTATTGAGCTACAGTTCAAAAGGCAAAATGTACAGAGAAGGGCAGGGTACCCTAACGCAACCTTTCAAATATACTGAGCTTTTCAGATTTCCTGTTTTAATGTGAACTGCCCTCTCTACCACTGATGAGCTGATATTTTTAAATTTTGATTCCAAGGGAATAGAAACCTTTATCACTAATCATCTATTTTTCCCTTTACTGTTTGTATTTAATGATGCAAGAATAATACACTGCATTAAACATATATTTGAATCTATGTTATAAATTACAGAGAAATTTTGCTTCATGCTTGAAGTGGAACATTACAGACACCTTGTAAACCAAAATCTGTACTGTTATCATGAATAGCTTAGCCTTAATAATTCTTCTTTACTTCATTTATTAAGCATTTCTCTAACAATCTAACACCCAGGGAAATAACACATCTTAAAATACCATAAAAATACTGATTTGAACATATCTGAGGTTTTTTTTTTAATAGACATTAGATAATTTGCTCTTGGTATGTCTTCAGAATCATGCCAGACTTCTGATTTTAAAAAGGAAATCCAAATAAGGTTAAAAATAAAAGGAGGAAGATTCCAAATTGGGCTGTAAAGGTAATACCATTGCTATGACTAACAGACCTAGCAGGCCAAATTTTTATCTTACTTATATCCGTTTCGTCTCTGAGTCACAGCCCAGAAGCCAGCGGCGTTAGATAGAACTGTGTGTTTTTAAACGAATGATGTGTGAATCTTAGAATGTTTATCCAAATCTCTGAAAATGCCATGCAGGAATTTTCTTAGCATTTCTGGTACTTCCTGCTCCCAGCTGAACGAGAAACACGGCAAAAATAGCTTCTCATCACATCACAGGCAGAAGGATGTAATGCAGAGGGCTGTAGGGAAGGGGCGAGTTTAAGCTAATTGGGAAAATTAGTTAACTGAAATTTAATTTCAATTACCTGGAAAAGAACTGACACACAATTTAACCTGTAATGAAAACAGACCCCCCAAAAAGTACATCATAATCAAGGTTAACACTTGCAATGTTAGCCTATATTATCAACTGGTGTAAATCAACATAGAATTGGAGATTAGTAGCTTTAAATAAGTGAAGAACTGTTCCACTGTGCTTCAAAGAATAAATATACACCTCCTGTTACTACTACTACTACTACTACAGGAAGTTAAACATCCTAGCTAATATCCCAAACACCATTAAAAAGATGGAAGGGGAACAAACATAGCTCTACTTTAAGAAGGATTAAAAGGTACTCTGTTGTCTAGTTTCAAGCAGTGCTGTGCCAAAATAATTAGAAGTGTTCACATTATGCTTTTGAAGGAAAAATGCTACGTCAGTCTATAATAAACACTGTAGTAACATCAAACCAGGGAAGATATTTTCTGGAAATATGGCTATTTACTTTAGCTGAAAACACTGTATTTTCCCTTAAGCTTAGAAAAAGTTTCCATCAGGCCTCACTTAGAAATGATTTTATTTATCCTGAGCAGCAAAAACTAAGAGTTTATGATGGAAACACACTGTAACTGAGAGTCATGTATATAGCATAGGATGAATTATGTAACAGAAAAGGCAACATCCAGAATACTGATATTCATTAGAACTTCTCAGTGTTGGGTGAAAATCTCCCTCTGACTTAGCAATAGCATAAACCAAAAGGAAATTGTTTCATTTTATAAACATTGCAATTAACTTTTAAAGCCCAACTGAGACATTGTTACAAATTCTCCCCCAATTTTTACTTCTATTTGGATTTTTAAAAACTCATTTCATAGCTCTCTTAATCAGCAGCCATCCTCTCTCTGCATTACTGTATTGAAATCACATGCACTGACTGTATGATTCCATTATTATTCCCACTGCAGAATGTTTGTGCCTTTCCTCCCAAAAATTAATTCACATTTCTTGAGCTCACCCGATCAGCAGCTCTTGCTCCATTGTTGTCGAAAGTCACAAACTGCTGTTTGCTCAAGAAATGACACTTCCTGTGCTAGTGTTTAGCTCCCAAAAGGCCTCGCAGTTGGAGGAAGTTGCAGTGTCTGTACCAAATCTACAAGTACAGGATCACACAAACCCCAACAGGATTTCAACATGCTGCCCTACTGAGTTTGTAATCAGCAAAGGCCAGTTCTATTTAAAAAGTTGCCCATTAAGGGTAGGTCTTAACAGCAGGGCTAAAGTTGGAATAAGCTTTGCAACTTCAGCTACATCAATTGCATAGCTTAAATCGAAACAGCTTAATTTAGCTTTTGGTCCTGTCTACACAGCAGGAAATTGAAGGAAATACACTCTTCCTTCCACTTCCCTTACTCCTCATGAAATGAGAGTTACAGGAGTCGGAATAAGAAGTCCTCCAGCATGACATTATTTTGAAATAAAGGCTTATAGTGTAGACATGCACTATGTTATTTTGGAATAACGCGTTATTCTGAAATAATGCTGCTGTGTAGATGTACCCTACGGGCTCACAGTAAAGGCCCACCACGGATTTCAACAAGACAGGATATGGGTCTGGATCTCTTGGTCACTGAGGGTGTGTCTAAACTACATGGCTCCATTGATGGAGCCATGTAGATTAGGCTGATCGGCAGAGGGAAATGAAGCCACAATTTAAATAATTACAGCTTCATTTAAATTTAAATGGCTGCTGTGCTGAGCTGACAAACAGCTGATCAGCTGTTTGTCGGCTCAGCGCGCTAGTCTGGATGCCCCGCACCGACCTGAAAACCCTTTATCGACCTCCCCATTATGCCTCGTAGGATGAGGTTTACCGGGGAGGTCGATAAAGGGCTTTCATGTCGACAGGGGAGCATCCAGACTGCCCTGATCTGCCAACAAACAGCTGATCGGCAGAGTGGGGCAGCCATTTAAATTTAAATGAAGCCGCAATTATTTAAATCGCGGCTTCATTTCCCTTTGCTGAACAAACAAGTCTATATGGCTCCGTCGATGGAGCCATGTAGTCTAGACATACCGTGACTGCTTCAGCTGACTGGGCTTGTCCAGACTGTGATAAAAATGTACATTTCTAAAAGCATGGTCCAAACAAGTCCTTTTCTCCTTTTTCCTATTTGGGCCCCTGAGTTGTTTACCTTGGAAACTCCTAGCTCTGACCTGCCAGGGCTATATTGGTGGGTTGGGACATGCGACTGCTTTAGAGCATCTTCCTAGCAACAGAAAGGAATCCAGCAGATTGACGAGGGGACAGCTTCTCTACTAGTCCTATCCACACAAAGCAGGCTTAATCCTCATCCCTTAGCCAGCATCAGGGTGCTGTTCAGTATTGTGTCCCTTGGGCCAGTCTCTCTACACATGAAGTGTTTCACATTGTGGACGTAGGACACTTCCCTGGGGCACCCTCAGTTTTAAGGCACCTCCCTACTATCTGCCTTTAGCCTCTGACAACACAAGCATTACCTGTCATGCCTCTGAAGACTGCTCTCTCTAGGCAGGTTAGCGAGAGGGATACTTTAACGATGATGCTCAAACGCTTTTAATAGCGGGGGTGCTGAAAGACAGCGCTGAGGTCAGTAGTAGGATTGTGTCTTGGGGGGAGGATGTGAAAGTGAAACTGTGTACATGGTTAACCAATGACCCTGGGCTCCTCAGTTAACATGTAAAGTTAGAGGCAGCCTCCCAGCAGGCAAAATGAGTTGGCTTAAAAGCTGGCTCCCCACACATACCGGCTCTCAGGAAGCCACCTGCCCTCTTCCCCACTGCTGCCTCTGATTGGTTTGCGTAACTGCTGACATTTTCAGTGGTTACACGATACCCTTGTCCTGGATAGGGATGTTAAAATGCATTTAATTAGGTTAAGGGGACTGAGGCTGGAACCAAAGCTGGAGACAAGCACAGAGCTAGGAGTAGAGCTCTGGGTGCAGGGTGGCAGCCAGAACCCCAGGTGTGGAGCCCCATATAAAACATGGAGATGCTGCAGCACCCCCTCAAACCTAATTCCCACATCTATGCACTTTAACCCTCGAGTCCTTTGGGCAACCTTCTGGGGTTCCCACTTCCGGTTGTGCTGAACGAACAAACGCACGCACGCACGCGCACACACACACACACACACACACACCTCTCCGATTCGCTGCTCCCAAAGGAATCGCACACACCAGTCAGTGCAATTCAGCTCAGGATAACCACTCCGCTTCCCACAGAGCATTAGCGATACTTACAGTGAAAACAAGAATGGCATTTATTATCAAAGAATGAGATGCAAACGATAGAGGAAGAGTATTGGAAACAAATGATTACATGGCAAACAACGTCAAAATCAATTTTCTTGAGCCTAAGTGTCGATCACCAAATAAGCTGCTTCTCTCTCACCAACAGAAGTTGGTCAGTAAAAGATATTAACTCTCCTGCCTTGTCTCTCTAATATCCTGGACCCAACACGGCTACAACTACACTGCAGAAGACATTTCCCTGTCTCATACAAGATAGCTTAAAAAGTCATTTTCTCTAGCATTTTCAGCTAGATTGGCTGAGATCCCCTTTATGTAAAATCAAGCCCACTAGCAGCTTCTCCTGACAGACTGAAAGATGACTGGGGGTTCATCTGCTACCTACATAGAGCAGGCTAGGCCTTGATGTTCTCCTGAATATAGGCTTCCAGCTTCCTCCTGTTGTTTGCCTCATCCTGCTAATCTCCTTCTGAAGCTTCCACAAGCTCTTCTTTAGCACTTGTCTCCATTCACTAACAGACTTCTATTGTCAGCTTCACAATGGTCCACCAGGGAAATAACAGTTGCCCACCTTCTGCCTGAAGAAGTTTGTTGCAAAGCATGCTAACTTTAGCTACAAGGCCTAAAGAACAGAATTTTTCAGCAGGGACTTGACTTAACCAGAAACCTCTATGTCATCTTCCATTTAGCATCAAGAGGTTGTTGGGTTATACATATATTTGATTCATGACATGCTTTGCAGAACACCTTGCATAACAGTTCAAACTCTAAAATGGTAAACTCCCTGGGGTAGGGATGACTTGGTTAATAAGCAACCTATTGCATATACCGCCTAAAAGAAAAATTTCAAGATTATGAGTACCAGATTCTGATTTAATTTATTCCAGAATAAGTCTTTTCAGCCGGATTCTTCTCTCACTAGATCTGGCTTTACACAAGTGCAATTCCAGTGACCTTCAAGGGAGTTAGACCAGAATCAGTGACAGGCATGCTCCACCCTTCACTCAAATCCCATCTTGTCAAGCTTGAGAAAGTTTGGTTAACTTTATTGTTAATTTTCTTGGGTTTCTCTACATCATGGTTCTTAAAGGGCAAAATGCCAATACAGTAGCTATCTCTACTTTACATCCACTTCCATCAGAAACAACTGGTTCGGGTGACAAAGTTGTGTCTAGGTTGTCTAGCCAAATCAAAGAACAAAAGAAGTCGGATAAGGTGGAGATCTGTAGTTGGAGCAGCAGAGACTTCAGTGACATTCTCTCACAGTCTTGTAAATTCAGAGTAATTACATAAGAACGGTCATGCTGGGTCAGACCAAAGGTTCATCTAGTCCAGTACCCTGTTTGCAGACAGTGGCCAATGCCAGGTGACCCCAGAAGGAATGAACAGAACAGGTATCATCCATTGGTCCCACCCCTATTGCCCATTCCCAGCTTCTGACAGAGGTCATGGGCACCATCCTTGCTAACATGCCATTAATGGATCTATCCTCCATGAATTTATCTAGCTCTTTTTGAACCCTGTTAAAGTCCTGGCCTTTACAACATCAAAGTCACACATTGAAGACACAAAATATTACATTAAAGTCAACGGATGTACAGTGTGTTACATGAGTTTAAATTTGCTGTGAATGAGAACAAAATAAAATCCAATGCAGCTGTTAAGCTATGTCTACACAGCAGAGCTATTTCAGGATACCTCCTGTATCCCAAAATAACTATTCCGCATCTTAAGAGCAAACCCGTTATATTGAAATAAAACAGGCTCGCTATTCTGACGTCCCTCTAAACCTCATTGCACGAGGGATAAGGGATGTTTTAGAATAGCACCTTATTTTGAAACTGACTCAAAATAAGCTACACAATTTGCATAGCTCAAATTGTGTAGCTTATTTCAAGCTACAGGTGCAGTGTAGACACACCCTTAAAAAAATCTTGCTGTTTGCATTCACACAATCACACACTAGATGGCACTCCTGAACTAATAAATGGTACAATACAAAAAACTAGCAGAACATTGAAAAAAGTTACTATTGGAAAGAAGCCTTATACTAACATTTGTTCATAAATGTGTTATTACAATGAATAAACATTTTCCTGTCTTGTAGGCATCTCTTGAAAACTGGCAACTTGCATTACTCTTTGGTCTTCTAAGTAATCAGTTTCCATATATTGCAGTACCATGCAACATTTATGGGAAAAGTAAATCTGACTTGATGAAATGTCTTTCCAGTTCAAAAAAAGACATGATATATAGTCTGGGAACATAATGTAGTACAAAAGCTTCTGAGACACATTTTGAAAACACATTAATGACTCTGAGAACCACTGACTTTCAATGGGAGTTAGGTTCTAAGCATTTAAGTCTGTTTGGGGATTTAGGTTAAGAAGAGCTAGGAAAGACATGATGCTCCATTTCAAAAAGAATTTCAACATTTGACTTAATTTCAAATTAGGACACAAGCCAAATATTTTTAAATTCTCTGCAAAAGGAAGAATCTGAAGAATTTCCATATCTGGTTAATCAAAATGTTTTAAGTTTGACTTTAAAAAATATATTATTACACAAAAATTCAAAACAAAAAGCAGTTTCAAAGCAAAATATGTAATTTTCCCCCCATTTTCTTTCAAAATTACAATTCCAGTACAATTAAACTGATTTAGCAAAGCATGTTTATTTTGACAGGACTGTATATTTGGATGCAATGTAGCTGTGATGAAATGTCTCCAACCAGCTCTACTCCTAAATCTCTCAGGCACTTTTGAGAAAGGCCCCTTTTATCTGCTAAAGAGATCCTGATTAAGGATTTAAATTGGATTTTTTAATTAATAATATAGTGATTAATAATGTGCATGATCCACCCGATCCACTGAAGCTGTGGAAAGAGTCACATTGACTTCAAAATACTTTGGGTCAGGCCCTGTACACTTAATCCAAATAAAAATCCACAATTTGTCCTATTTCCTTTTCTGTTTATCTTCATTTGGAGATTCAATTTGAAGAATTAAAACGCTGCCTGCAGACAGGATTATTGATAGCTGAACCAGCAGGCCAGGCATTACAGTGGAGCTAGACATTCTAAAAATGTCAGATGCGTCACTCCCATCCACATGCTGTTTTCTGAGCAGTTGCAAATTCTGAAGGTTCACGGAAAAATGTTTTCAACTTGTGCTGGTACCACTTTATCATCAAACTGTCAGTTGGGATAAGAAGAAAAGAATCCACAAATAAAGGGAAAAAATTTGTTGTCAGTGATACAGTGTAGCCATGTACTACCCACAACTCTATCTGATCCACTATTTTCTTCCGTCTAATTCTTGGTTTCACTTACATTGGTACAACTTTATGGAAGTCAATGGATTTCCCTAATGTAAACAGAGTAGCCATAATTTTTACTATGACTAATAATAGGAGACACAGATCTAGGCCTTGTTTTCCTTGTACTTCCTTACTTATAACAAAGTAGATCTCAATGCAAGGAGACCCAGTAAGTAAAAGTATGTTGGGCCAGGCCTGTGCATAGTGCTAAAATTAAATGAGACTGTAATCCAAAGTTGAGTTTGCATTCTATTAGTGGCAAGGCTGAGAGAGGGAGAGCCACAGAAATTCCCCAATGGCTAAAGGCTCCTGTCCTGGAACTGAATACATACAGGCTCCATACATACAGACAGACATAAGAGTTGCAATCAAGAAGCTGAATAATCAACTTAATAAACCTTTCACTCCCCCATTTTCTTCCAGTTGTAGCCTGCCCCATACATGCACATCCAAGAACATCTATTGACCAAAACAAAAATAGTACGACATGAATCCATTCCTTCTTCGAGTCATTGTTCTTGGCATTCGGAGAAGCAATCAGTCAGTCACATAATGGAGCAGCAACACTTTTTGGGGTAATTCTCTGTATACACTCTATTTTCATCTCCATACACATAATAGGAATACAGTTTCCCTTGCCACTCGTATTCCACTTTAGTAAGAGGAATCAGCTCAATAGTTTGCCTCTGGAAGAAAGAGAGAAAACACAAGGATAATGAAGCTAAATCTATATAGTTGTACACACTTGGTGGCATTTTCAAAAGCACTTTATGTAGACTTTGCATGTTTGAAGTAGGGATGTGAAAGGTTAACTAGTAAGCACCACCCTTAACGGAAATCAGTAAGCTTCACTTAACTGGAGGGGTCTGGAGCAGCTCCCCACCTGTCGTGGACAGGGGGCTGCTCCAGCCCTGCGGGACCCACCATGGACAGGGGCAGTCCAGCCCAGCTGAAGCAGCTCCTGTCCATGGTGGGTGCTGGGGGGCACACAGGCAGGGTTGCTCCCACTCGTCCTCCCTTTAATCAGTTAACTGGTTAAACACTATGTTTAACTGATCAACCAATTAAATGGGATTTTATATCCCGAGTTGTGATGAGATGTAAAGACCTGTGCGATCCGCACCGCGCTCCTGATTAAGAAAGCAAGGCAAGTCCCATTTTAGAAGATGTGGGAGCTGAGGCACACAGAAAAGAGATTTGACACACCCATGGGCAATCAGTGGCAGAGCTGAGTTTCTAACCCGAGGTGTTCCTGTTTCCCAGGACCATGGTCTATTTTCTCATATGCGTACTTCTCATACTATTGCATTTTTCTTTATTACACTCTCCCCTCCCCATTATACATCAAATTGAAAATGTTTTAAAGGTTTTGGTACGCTGGCACTTAAGAAAATCCAATCCCTTTAATGTTAAGAGTCATAATCCACCTATTGAGCAGCCCTTCCTCTAATGTTTGAAGAATTATTCCAAATGGTCCAATAAACAAAGGTGCAGTGAGACTTACACAGAGGCTAAGATGTCACAGTCTGATTGCCACACACTAGTTGCTTCTTTGTCTCCTTTTAGACTTGGGCTACAGCACACTCACCTGTCTCAGTAATCGAGAAACGGATGCAAACTGAGTGTGATGTTGCACAACAGCGTTTTGGGAAGCCTGACTTATGGAAGGTTCAGGAAAATTCACCACAGGATAAACCTGAAGAAATGGAAAATATTTAAGACCCACAAATAGGAAGGAGATCACAATTACTTCCATCACAGTACTGAGATCTTTCAGGGCTTGTATTCACAGACACACCCAGAAAAAATAATTTGAATTAATTAAAAGTAGAAATTTTAAGTAGATAATATTGAACTGCATTAAACCTCCGTACGGACACTCTCATTCAGTATTAAAGAGATTATAATTCTCTTTAGTTTTATTCATTTCCAATGAGAAGTAAGGCCATCTCAATTCTAAACTGAGGTGTGTCCAAATGGGTTTAATGCAATTTAACTAATCCATTTAAAATTCATATCTGTAGTTAATGCAGATTAATTTTTCTCAGCATTGCAGTGGAGACAAACCCTCACTTACATGAGTAATCTTAATTCACAGCTGTGGACTAGGTCAATGGAGTGATGCCAATTTACACCAACAAGGATCTGGCCAGTGAAGTCAATGGGATTGCTTGCACAAAGAAAAGTGACTCACATGGGTATGCTGTCATAGGACATTTCATATTAGTTGTAAAGAAAACAAAAGCATTCTCCCCTAGTATCCTCTTTTGGCAGTCTTCACTGCTGCTAGGTATCAGCCAATTGTACTGCGATTGCAAAAACCTAAGGTCTTTTCTGTGCTAGGTTTCAAAAGGTTAGTCACACTAGTGCAAGTCCTGTCTTACACTGGCACAGCACATCCATACGGGGACAAAAAGTATAAGCAAACTCTGTGGGTACAGCCTTACAGATCTGCTGATATCCGCTTTATAGCCACAGGTATCCACATTCGTAGATGTGAATGTGGATATCCATGGCTCATTTTTCTGGAGACAGATGCAAATACAAATTTTTCTATCCATGCAGGGCTCTATCTATGGGCTAAATTTTGGATTTCCAGGACAACAACCTCACTGCATGGGATGCAGATACCTTTGCAGGCCCTTAAAAAAAAATCACTGCAATCAATTCCAAATTTACACTGTAGAAAAATTAGTATATAGCTCCTTCCAAAGTGGGCTGTTAAGAAAGACCTGAAGCATGTTATGGAAACAACTGAAATACCAAGCCACCATAAAGGAGTGCTGCTATGATTATTATTTGCATTATTATTTGTCCCAGTCATGGGCTCAAACAGAAAACCAGTCTGAGATTAACAGACTACAACAGGTGCTGAGCAAGGGTGCCTGTCTGGTCCCTTGAAATCCACTGCAGGGTTAGCCAGCAGGGAAATCAGAAGAAATTGGATTTCTATTTGCTATTTAAAAGGTCCTGCAAATATGTAAACTGCAGAGGAACAAAGCTTCAAAATTTAGATCTGGATTTCCAACATCACAAAGCCTGAGGCCATTTTCATCTGGGGTTTTCTGTTGGGACCATCTCTAATGTAAACCTCTTTTAACTTCATATATTTGATTTTTGTTTGTTTTGCATATGAGCAGTGGGAATTTATATGAGCCCAGCAAATATAAACCCATACGCAGCTAGCTCAATACAGGCAGTCCCCGGGTTACATGGATCCGACTTATATCGGATCCCTACTTACAAACTGGGTGAGGCAACCCCGCACTAGCTGTTTCCCCCCAGCAGACCAGAGAGACGCGAAGCTAGCGCCCCCCCAGCAGACCAGGGAGACGTGGAGCGGCTTTTCTCAGCAGACACCTCAGCTTGACAATAAAGGACTGAGGGAAGTGAGGTGTGGGAGAATAAAACTGAGCTCTGGAGAAATGTTTGGCTAGAGTTTCCCCTACAATATGTACCACTTCCGACTTACATACAAATTCAACTTAAGAACAAACCTACAGTCCCTATCTTGTATGTAACCCGGGGACTGCCTGTAGATATATAACAGATAGGCCAAATGCAGGGAAAGTGTGGCTTTTTTCAACCCATATCTGCAGATGTGGATATGGGGCAACATAATCTGCTAGTGTCAATTAGCAACAGCTCTTCTGACTTAAATGGAACTGCACCAGTTTATGTCAAGAGAGGATTTCAGCCATTTTTTGCAAGGAACAGAGGCTGTTAACGGGATCCAAGTTGCAGGGACTTACAGGACTTTCCCCTGGTCTGAGTAGTAAAAGATGTTGAACATCTCTCCCTCTTGCTGGGATTTGAGAGAGAGAAGTAGTTCTAGTTATCAAACCAAATAAGTGCATTAAAACACACACACACACACACTTCCAAACCAGCATTAGCCCCGAGTCCTTTCAATAACCCTTTTACTAAAAAAGGAAAACGTAGATGGTATCTGAGAACTACCTAATTTAGGGTATGTCTACACTGCAGCGCTAATTCGAACTAACTTAGTTCGAATTAGTTAATTCGAACTAAGCTAATTCGAACTAACGCATCCAGACTAAAAAACTAGTTCGAATTAGCGTTTTGCTAATTCGAACTAGCATGTCCACATTAAGTGGACCCTGAACCAGGGTTAAGGATGACCGGAAGCAGTACCGGCAGGGCATCAGAGGAGGAGTTAGAGCGTGGATCTGCTGCCTCAGGCTAGCCGAGGGCTGTGCTTAAAGGGACCCGACCCCCACACTGGACAGACAGTTCTCAGGGGTGCCCCGCTTGCAAAGCAGTCCTGGCTTGGAGTGCCCTGAGTGCCCACACTGGGCACATCACAGCACTCGGCCATCAGACCGGCTGCACTTGCCGCAGGCTGCCATCTGGGGAGAAGGGACAATTGGGGGGCTGCAGGAGAGCTTCC